TGGTAAGAGTCGCTATAGCAATTTACTATATACATTGCGTGTCAGTATTGAACTAGTCTGTTCAACAAGCTGGCGCAGTTTTTTGTCGTCCTAAACTGCAAAAAAGCCTGTCGTTAGGCGAATCACATACGATACGATACGTTAGGCAGATTTTCCATACGATACTCTTAATAAATTCTGTGATAATTTCCTCTGTACCTTCACTTGGTCATTCTGATAAATACGACCATCATGTAAGAAACTCATAAGAAGCATAACCTTTACACATTGACGAATACAGTCGCCACCAAATTTACACATACAATCATCTGAAAATAAACAGATTTTCGCTTGCACAAATTTAGAAACTTGTACCTCGCTTCGAGAGTTGCACGTAAGAACTTGTTCACATTACACTTTTGCATTTATTTGTAGGTTTATCATCGTTACCGTTGCAGAATAACCATTATTATCATCTCGGTTCACCCATTTTACCATCGCATCCTTCGACTTGGGAAATGGAGGACGTTACCGGTTTTAATCTATCATTGTGGCACAGGATAAAGAATTTTATTCGACTGTGGCGATATATACATTACTTTCATAACCATTATATGCAGCGACAGCAAGCAATAGCGGAAAAATATTTGGGCAAAGGTATACCTAATGTAAATGAAATGGAGAAGAATATAAGTATTATATTGGTCAATCAACAGGAGATTACCACGTTCGTCAGACCACTACCACCGAATCTGATACAATTCGAATGTTTACATATGATGAAGAAACTCGCACCTTTGCCAAACGTAATTATTGCGCAACGCCTCAAACGACGGTATTTCTTTCTGAGAATAGATGCCGCACAGTTACCTTGTTTCAGGATTTGCAAAACTTTCTGGACGACTCGCCGAATGGATTCATCTACGTGAGTCTAGGCACAAACGTAAAAATGACGTCCTTTCCAACATATGTGCTACGTGCGTTTTACGAGGTGTTTGCGAGTTTGCCGTACAAAATAGTATGGAAATTTAATGGACAATTGCCGGAAAAATTTGACAAAATTTACACCGCTACGTGGCTCCCTCAACAGAGCATTCTCGGTAAGTCGAGACACAATCGTGATGAAAGATCAAACAAACATATTTTCACATAGCACGTTCGCTAGTCGTATTATTCCTCATTCCGTCTCTTGTTCTTTCTAGCTCATCCGAACATTAAACTATTCGTGTATCAAGGCGGATTACAAAGCACGCAAGAGGCTATCCATTATGCAGTGCCACTTTTAGGGATACCAATGTTGTCCGATCAGTACGGTAATGTAAATAGAATGGTATTTCTTGGCGTTGCAAAGAGTTTAGATATTACTAATTTCTCGGTAAAGGAACTGAACTCATCTATTATGGATATTTTAATAGATGGAAGGTAATTCTGTTTTTCCATCATCCAAATATATGTGTATGTGTGGAAATTTTTATCTTCTGTATTGAAATTTAATTTAAATGAACGCGCTGCGGAACCCGCGCTTTCATTTAAATTGACATTTAGAAAGGATAAAGAATAGAGAAAAGTATAATTACGCGCGTATCACGAGCGGCTTCAAACGTGTTACACAATTTGGACTCCCGAACATTAAAATATCCGACAGACGTGATTTCCCAATACGGAAGGTTAAATATAAAAGACGTATAATCCGTTAAACAATATACGCTATATCTTATCGAACGACCGACTCTACCCGTTCACCGTATTCGTTCGCACGCTTCCTAGTTGCCGCATTTCTCGACAAGACAGAAACGTTCCGGCTATAGAATGCTAACCACACACACAACACGTAACACACGGATACACCCACGGCCATTCCTACACGCATATTAAGGAGTTCATGTGCTCAAAGTTAATGTGCAATTGCGGAATAACGCTGTCACGCATTTCCGAGATGCATCAACTTTCGTCTGTTCTTTTCAGATATAAAGAGAGAATGCTCAAAGTTAAGGCATTGAACGATGATAAGCCTTATGATATGCTGAAGCACGTAATTTGGTGGATCGAGTATGTGATTCGTCACAGGGATGTTTCTCATCTTCACACCAGTATCAAATATGATCCTTGGTACGAGAGGTACGACATGGACGTTATAGCAGTCTTATCGATCGTAACATTTGTAATATTAGTGTGCGCATTGATGATTATATATAAAATGCTAAAAATAACGTTGAAATATTTCTACAAGAGAAAGGCAATTAATATTAAGGAAAAAACTATTTAACGTTAACATAGCGCAATTAATCACAATTATGCGCGAATGCGTTCGACATTTCAATATAACTTCAACATAAGTCTCGCTTTTAATCTCTTCTTTTCTTTAGAAGTTTGTATGAATTTTTCGTCTCTCTTATTATTTCCGTGTTTCTCCTATATTTTCATTTTTGTTATATCTTATTCATATGTGAGAAAGATAGTTAATTTTTATACAACGAAAGTACATCTAGTTAAACAGGCGTGAGCGATTGATCTCATTCTCCCTCTTTTCTTGCGTAAAAGAAAGTACAATGCGTGACGCAATTGTTTGGTCTAATTGGACAACATTGTTGTAAATTATTACGTTAGATTTAAACTGGCTCGGAAAACGCTGTCGTTCGGTGCAGACATTGTTATTACTATCTAATTTCCTTGTGGTACCCCGAAGCACATATTTAATGTTTTTAAATCTAGCTGAGCAAATGTAACGTTTACAAGCATGAATATTCAAAGTTACCGCTTGTAAGTTGAGCGTATAATGAATGTATTTACGTCGTGGTAAATAAGATGCATATTATACTTGCAATCGCGGCGACTGCTGTTACTGATGGTCATTATCAGAAATAATCGAGACAAAACGTGATGTTCAAAATTCAAAGCGGGCCATATGTCTGACGAAAATATCAAGCGAATCAAATGTAATACTACGAAAACGGGTAAATAAATACATTATTTTATAAGCTATCGCTATTATTGTAACGATATTTTATCATTCATTAACCTGTCTAAAATATTTAAGAGATCTTTATATGTAACAATGAATAAACTGTCGACAAAATAATGCTTAATCAGCCTTTCTCCGTTATTCCGATGTACGTTACATTAAAGATTGGAGAATTTATAGTAAATTACTGCTCGTCGTCGACCATACAAGTAACACTGCGCGCAATTGCAGCGTTCGGGCTGTAGAATTTTAATTTGATACTGCTATCGTAGAAAAAATGACTCGGGATCTTAAGTCATTTCTACACTTTGAATCACATGGATCGCACATATAATTCTTCAAATATATCGATTTAAAGTTTCGAAATTTTATGTCTAATTATGTTCAGTTGCTTATCATTTTGGTCATAACATGTATCGACATAAAATACATGAGGTGTGGTCTTTTGTAAAAGACTACTCTTTTCTTGTAAAATTTTATCGGTGTGGACTGTAGATACATGCGAGTATACTAAACATTCTCTTTAATTTATACTCTTCACATTAGCAACAGTTTTCAGATGTTGCGGTAAATATTAGTATTTATATGATTATGTATACATTTGCATGATTAATTTATATTATTTTTACATATTTTATATCGATATTTATAAATAGAATTTGTCTTATCCAGGGGCGCTGTTTACCATTTTCCAAAAAATTATTTTTCCTTTCATCGTTTATCGCGCGACAGCCCAAAATATTTTATTCTGAACAATGTTCGACCTATAAAGTAACTTAATGTAAGTTAAATAGTTTGTTATGTCGTCTCGTTGTAATGATGTCGATTATTGTCGAACTGTCCGATAGGTCTGAAAATTATTACAATGTTAAGATATAATATAATATATGTATTACTACACTAGGAAAAATGTATTGTTGCCTGAACCAAAATTTTTTTGTAACAACAAAATAATTTGGTTAAAATATGCCCAACAAAGCTGTTTAGTTCCTGTAAACGAATATTTTGTTTGATTACGGTTTGTTCGTATAATGTAATACTTTTGTTATAGCAACCATAAAGCTTTAATTACGTATATGAATTTTGTTAAAAATACTATAATTTTTTCTTAATATATAAAATCTAAATTTTAGTGCACAGAAAGACAAAATACGTGTAGTATCCGTTGGGCATTATTTTAGTTAATGTAAAATAATATTTCATTATTATGTAATTTTTATGGATAAGATAACTAAAATGCTTAATTTTTATATATGTAGTGTAAGAACAAAATCATTTGGTCCAGAGAACAAAGCAGAAAAATATATATTAGTTGAGACAACTAAATATTTTGTTATTTAAAACAAGATATTTGGCTGCTATTAAAAAATGCCTCAACTAAACAGTTTTGTTAGAGATACTAAATTTTTTTTCATAATGTATCCTTACGAAAAAATTAATAAAAAGATTTTGTCTAAATAGTTTATATGTCAAAGCTAATATGCAATTACATCATCTTGATACGTTCATCTCAAATAGATGTTCCGTGGTTAATTTAATTCATTTGTTCAGATTAATTCATTGTCTATTGTATCATATATTGTATGTCTATTGTATTTCTGCATTATTAAAGTCTAATATACACATATACACATACATATATACACGCATCGTCCTAAATACATACGTAAGATTCGAATTATCTCTGCAGGAGACTACGTAATTTGCATATTGATAAAATTACAATAAAAAAATATATATATTTAGTCCAAGTAACTCTAATGAATTCGAAAGGAAAAAATATTATTTTCTACAATTATCGGGGGACTTTCAATCTTATGATTGCATCACTTTGTTTATGAGCGACAATCATGCGATATATAATGATGCGCAACGTTTAACGTGCATAGAGATGTCCATCATATTTAAATCGTAAGGTCGAATGATAAGAAATATGCATACGACAACTTTATACAATATTAATGGAGTTTATCGTACATATGTACATATCGAAAATACGTAGAGAAATATATAGAGTAATGTATATATAAAGAGCACACATGTAACACGAGGAAGAAGACCGCGCACGTCTTTATATTGCCACGAAGTGACAATTAACTTCTGTTGGGGCCGCGATACGCACGATATTCACGGTGAAGATAAAATCTAGTCCTCCGCGAATCAAAGCGTAGCAGTAAGCAGCAGAGTGTGAGGTCACACGGATTATTCAACATTGTGCGGCTGTGTTGTTATTTTACACTATTTATTTGTTATCAGACACATTAGTTGATGCTTGGATAGTTAAAACACCAATATATCGACAAAAGTATAAAAAAATTTTTGTATCGTCCAACTTGTATTTTGTCACCTCCGCAAGTACGCTCGACATCATAACATCAACATCGTAACTGCTTGCATTACCCGTCATATCGAAAGCGTAATGAAGTTCACCGCAATATCTCTCGGATTCTGGCTAGCAAGTTTCCTATGTGTCGTTAAATTGACAGAAGGTGCGAGAATCTTGGCGATTGTTGCAGTGCCCTCCTATAGTCACCAAATAGCGTTTCATCCGATATGGGCCGCTCTCAGCCGACGAGGACATCAAGTTGTTCTTTTCACGACGGATCCGATCGGCGATCCTAGCTTGACGAATTTGACGGAGATCGACTTCCGACATACATACGACGTGATAAAGAATATAGATTATGCTAAACTAAGATATACCTATGATTGGATGACTTTACAGCAGGGTATTTTACAATACAAATCCTTGGCAATAATAGAAGAAATCTTCAAGCATGCGGAAGTACGTAAATTGTACGCACCGAATAGCGGTGAAAAGTTCGACGTAGTACTTGCTGAAGCAGTAATAACACCTGGCCTCTACGCCCTGGCGCACAGATTTAATGCGCCTCTAATTGGTAAGAGTTGCAATGATAATTTACTGTGTACATTGCGCGTCAATATTGTGTGTAACTAGTCTGTTTGACAAGTAATTCGAAGTGAAGTCGTCCTGAAAGACAAAAAAACCTGTCGTTAGGCAGGTGACATTTTTTATATGATACTCTTAATAAATTCTGTGATTTGTCTGTACTTTCATTTAGACATTCTGATAAGTACGACTATTGTTTAAAGAATCCGTAAGAAGCATAACCTTTACACATTGACGAATACAGTCGCCGTTAAATTTACATACTCTCGTCTATTTGAAAGTAAACAGATTTTCATTTGCACAAATTTCGAAACTCGTACCTCGCTTCGAGAGTCGCATATAAGAAGGTAATTGCATTATACTTTTGCATTCGTTTGTAGGTGTATTATCGTTACCGTTGCAGAGTAGCCATTATTATCATCTCGGTTCGCCCATTTTACCATCGCATCCTTCGACTTGGGAAATGGAGGGCGTTACCGGTTTTAATCTATCATTGTGGCACAGGATAAAGAATTTTATTCGACTGTGGCGATATATACATTACGTACATAACCATTGTATGCAGCGACAACAAGCAATTGCGGAAAAATATTTGGGCAAAGATATACCTAATGTAAGTGAGATCGAGAAGAATATGAGTATTATGCTCGTCAATCAACAGGAGATTACCACGTTCGTCAGACCAGTACTACCGAATCTGATACAATTCGGAAGTTTACACACAATGAAGAAGCCCGCACCTTTGCCAAACGTAATTATTGCGCAACGCCTCAAACGATGGCATTTCTCTCTCAGAATAGATGCCGCACAATCGTCTTGTTTCAGGATTTGCAACAATTTCTGGACAACGCGCCGAATGGATTCATTTATGTGAGTCTAGGCACAAACGTAAAAATGACGTCCTTTCCGTCATATGTGCTACGTGCGTTTTACGAGGTGTTTGCGAGTTTGCCGTATAAAATAGTGTGGAAATTTAATGGACAATTGCCGGAAAAATTTGACAAAATTTACACCGCTACGTGGCTCCCTCAACAGAGCATTCTCGGTAAGTCGAGACACAATCGTAATGAAAGATCAAACAAACATATTTTCACATAGCACGTTCGCTAGTCGTATTATTCCTCATTCCGTCTCTTGTTCTTTCCAGCTCATCCGAACATTAAACTATTCGTGTATCAAGGCGGATTACAAAGCACGCAAGAGGCTATCCATTATGCAGTGCCACTTTTAGGGATACCAATGTTGTCCGATCAGTACGGTAATGTAAATAGAATGGTATTTCTTGGCGTTGCAAAGAGTTTAGATATTACTAATTTCTCGGTAAAGGAACTGAACTCATCTATTATGGATATTTTAACAGATGGAAGGTAATTCTGTTTCTCCATCATCCAAATATATGTGTATGTGTGGAAATTTTTATCTTCTGTATTGAAATTTAATTTAAATGAACGCGCTGCGGAACCCGCGCTTTCATTTAAATTGACATTTAGAAAGGATAAAGAATAGAGAAAAGTATAATTACGCGCGTATCACGAGCGGCTTCAAACGTGTTACACAATTTGGACTCCCGAACATTAAAATATCCGACAGACGTGATTTCCCAATACGGAAGGTTAAATATAAAAGACGTATAATCCGTTAAACAATATACGCTATATCTTATCGAACGACCGACTCTACCCGTTCGCCGTATTCGTTCGCACGCTTCCTAGTTGCCGCATTTCTCGACAAGACAGAAACGTTCCGGCTATAGAATGCTAACCACACACACAACACGTAACACACGGATACACCCACGGCCATTCCTACACGCATATTAAGGAGTTCATGTGCTCAAAGTTAATGTGCAATTGCGGAATAACGCTGTCACGCATTTCCGAGATGCATCAACTTTCGTCCGTTCTTTTCAGATATAAAGAGAGAATGCTCAAAGTTAAGGCATTGAACGATGATAAGCCTTATGATATGCTGAAGCACGTAATTTGGTGGATCGAGTATGTGATTCGTCACAGGGATGTTTCTCATCTTCACACCAGTATCAAATATGATCCTTGGTACGAGAGGTACGACATGGACGTTATAGCAATCTTATCGATCGTAACATTTGTAATATTAGTGTGCGCATTGATGATTATATATAAAATGCTAAAAATAACGTTGAAATATTTCTACAAGAGAAAGGCAATTAATATTAAGGAAAAAACTATTTAACGTTAACATAGCGCAATTAATCACAATTATGCGCGAATATTTTGGACATCTCAAATTATATTTCAACATACGTCTCGCAAACGAACAACGTAACAACAAATGTAACGTTTGCAAGCATGAATAATCAAAGTTACCGTTCCTTAGTTCGGCGTATAATGAATGTATTTACGTAATAAATAAGTTTCATATTATACTTGCGTAACGGCGATAACTGTTACTGATAGTCATTATCAGAAAAAACCGAGATAAAAGGAAAAGTTTAGCGTTCAAAGTACGCCGTACTATGTCAGATGAAAATATTAAACGGTTCATGTGTGGTACAATAACATGTAAGTAAATACATCAGTTTATACGCTATCGCTACTGTTGTAACAATATTTTATCATTTACTAACCTGTCTGAAATATTTAATAGATGTTTATATGCAACAATGAATAAACTGTCGACAAAATAATGATTAATCAGCATTCCCCCGTTATTGCCGTGCACGTTATACTAAAAATTGAAGAATTTATAGCAAATTATTGCTTGTCGTCGATCGTATGACTAACACCATACAATTGCAGCGTTCGGACCGTAGAATTTTAAATTCACACTGCTGACGTCACTCAAATGGCTCGGTATCTTGAGACATTTCTATACTTTAAATCACGTGGATCGCACATGTAATTCCTCAAATACGAGGTACATCCAGAAAGTAAGAATACAATAATTGTTTAAAATCGAAAAATGAATATATTTTATTGAAATTTACATGGTATGTGCCAAAATATGTTATTATTTCTCCACATAATCGCCGTTGAGATCAATGCACTTTTGAAGCCTGGGTACCAGCTTTTGTATACCCTCGTTGTATACCGTTCGCTCCACCTCCTGAAGCCACTTTGTCACAGTCTGCATGACCTCCTCATCGTTCGAAAACCGCTGTCCACCCAAGAACTCCTTCAATTTATTGAAAAGATGGTAATCCGAGGGTGCCAGGTCAGGGGAGTCGGGTGGGGGAGTCACAATGTCCCATCCAAACGACACGAGCAGGTCTTGAGTGAACCGGGCGGTATGGGGTCTGGCGTTGTCCTGAAGGAGGGACACACCACGAGTCAGCATTTCCTTCCTTTTGTTTTCGATTTTTTTTTCTCAGACTTCTTTAGAGTCTCATAATATGCAGCAGCATTGATGGTGGTCTCTTTGGGCATGAAATCGACCAACAAAAGCCCTTTCCGGTCCGAAAACACGGACGCCATGATTTTCCTCTCTGAAGATTGAACTTTGAACTTTTGGAGGATGGAGAATGGGTATGGCGCCACTGCAGAGACTGTCATACTGAGACTGAAGAGAATGAGACTGAAGTGAGGAACCGAATGATTGAACAAATCTCACACCTGCTGTAGATGGAGTGAACGTAGGACGCACTGGTTGACGTATTAGGCTGCTGCGACGACGTTTCGTAACTGACTGAGGCGCTCGATGGCTTATTTTGACCATTACGAACCCTTCTACACGTCACGGGTGCCAACCCGTTTGCAACAAAAAAATTCCTACGTCTTACACAGCCCTTGTATTCTTACTTTCTGGATATACCTCGTATATCGATTTAAAGTTTCGCAATTTTATATCAAATTGCGTTGTATCTAATTGTGTTTATCATTTTGGTCATAATATATATTAAAATAAAATATATGAGGTGAAATTTTTTGTAAAAAGTTACCCTCTTTTTGTAAAATTTTATTAGTGTGGATTTTATTAGTGTGAATTATGGACTGTAGACGCGCACAAACATATTATCTGTTGCGATAAATATTTGTATTTACATGATTATATATGTATATATTGGGTTGGCAAATAAGTTCATTTGGTTTTTTAGAGTAGAATAAAACACAACTTTTTTATACACAAGATAAATTTTAACCAATTATATATTGGCCATCTTTTTCGATGACCTCTTGCCATCTTTCCACCGACTTCATTATCCGCGTTCGTAAAACATCTCGGCGAAAAATCAACCCAGGTGGATTTTAACGACCTCTTCATCCTTGAAGGTTTTCCCGTTCATAGAGTTCTGCAGCGACCGGAATAAATGATAATCGGAAGGTGCAAGATCCGGTGAATACGGAGGATGAGGCAAAACATCCCAGCCAAGCTGAAGCAATTTGTTCCGAGTGGTCAATGACGTATGAAGTCTGGCGTTGTCGTGGTGGAAGACGGCACCCTTGCGATTTGCCAATTCTGGACGTTTTATGTGGATTGCTTGGTTCAATTTTCGTCAATTGCGAACAGTATACAGTTGAATCAATCGTTTTGCCTGACGGTAACAGTTCATAATAGATGACACCCTTGAAATCCCACCATACGGAGAGTATTATTTTCTTCGGATGCAAACCCGCCTTCGAGTTTGTTTGCGGTAGTTCGCTGCTGTGCCCCCATGATCTTTTACGCGTTACATTATCGTAGACGACCCATTTTTCGTCATCCGTCATCATTCGTTTAAAAAATAGGGCGTTTCCGTAACAGATCGCAAATGGATATACGTGTGGTCAAGTTAGCGGTTAATTGATGCGGCACCCAAATATTAAGCCGAGAAACATATTCCAGCTGGCGCAAATACTTTTCTACGCTTGTGTGGAATATATTCAATGTCGTAGCAATCTCTCGTACCGATTAGGATGAATTTACTTCGATTATAGCCTTAATGTCACTTGAATTAATCTCGGTCGGGTGACCGGAGCGGGGCGTATCATTGACGTCGAAATCTCCGGAACGGAAATTGGCATACCACTTTTGGCATACGCGTTCTGTTAAGGCATCATCTCCATACACACGACATATCTTTTTATGAGCATCCGCAACTCGTTTGCTTTTTTTAAAATAATAGAGCAAAATGTGGCGATAATGCACGTTATTTATTCCTATGTTCACAGCTACGCAGCACACACAATACTGTTGTTAGCCAAACCAAACGCAGCACAATATAAATAGTGAAACATAACCTTTCAAATGTGTATTCGATTTGCACGATAGCGTTGAGAAAAGAAAAGCGAATCAGCATGAAATTTACACTAAAACAAAAACCGAACCAACTTATTTGCCAACCCAATACATTTGTATGGTTAGTTTATATTATTTTTACATAATTTTATATATTTTTACATATTATTCATAATCGATGATTATGTATAAAATTTCTTTTATCCCGGGGCGCTGCTTTCCATTTCCCGGAAACTTATTTTTTCTTTCATCATTTACCGCGTGACGACCCAAAGTATTTCATTCTCAGCAATTTTTTACCTAAAAATACTTAGTGTAAGTTAAATAGTTTGTTATACCACGTCGTGGTAATTATATCGATTACATCATTGTCGAACTCTCCGATACGTCTGAGAATTGTTACACTGTCAAGATATAATGTATTACTGCTTACCTCTTTACAAAAAAATTAATAAAAAGTTTTGTGTAAATATTTTATATGTCGAAGCTAATGTGTAACTACATCATTTTGATACGTTCATCTTAAATAGATGTTTCGCCGGAATTCATTTGTTCACATTAATTCATTGTCTATCGTCATATATTTTTGTATCATTAAAATCTAATACACGCACATCCTATCGCATACATATATACACGCATCGTCCTAAATACGTAAGATTCGAATTATCTCTGCAGGAGAATACATAATTTGCATATTGATAAAATTGCAGTAAAGATATATATGTTTAGCCCAAGTAACTCTAATCCATTCGACAGGAAAAAAAATTATTTTCCACAATTATTGGGGGACTTTCAATCTTATAATTGTACCACTTTGTTTATATGAACAATCATGCGATATGTAAGGGTATATAATGATGTGATACGTTCAACGTATATAAAAGTATCTGCTACATCTAAAACGTAAAGTCGAATGGTAAGAAGTAAAGGTCCGACAACTCTATGCAATATTAATGGATGCTTATCTAGAAAATATGTAGAGAAATGCGTAGAGAAATATCTACATGTGCAGCTCCCAAATAACACAAGGAGGAAGAAAAAGCACGAAAAAGTTCCTTTTATTGGCACAAAATAACAGTTAACTTGTCAGCGCCGCGATGCGCACGCTGTCGACAAGGGAGTCTAGACTTCCGCGAATCGAAGCGCAGTGAGTGGTAGAGTGTGAGGACACACGTTATTATTTAACACTGCACGGCTGTGTCGTTACTTTACAGTTTACACTGTTTCTTTCTCATCAGACATACGAGTATTCAGTTGATGCTTGGATAGTTGAAATACCAATATATCGACAAAAATATAAAAAATTTCTATATCGTCAACCTGTAACTTACCGTCTCCGCAAATAGGCTCAACCGCACAACACCAACACCGTAACTGCTTGCATTACCCGTCATATCGAAAGCGTAATGAAGTTCACCGCAATATCTCTCGGATTCTGGCTAGCAAGTTTCCTATGTGTCGTTAAATTGACAGAAGGTGCGAGAATCTTGGCGATGGTTGCAGCGCCCTCCTACAGTCACCAAATAGCGTTTCAATCGCTATGGGCCGCTCTTAGCCAACGAGGACACCAAGTCGTTGTTTTCACGACGGATCCGATCGGCGACCCCAGCTTGACGAATTTGACGGAGATCGACTTTCGACATACATACGATATACTCAGGAAGATAGATTATGCTAAACTAAGATACAGCCATAATTGGCTGAGCATAATGCAGGATTATTTACAGGATAATTTTGAGGCAATAGTAGAGGAAATATTTAAGCATCCGGAAGTACGTAAACTGTATGCACCGAACAGCGGTGAAAAGTTCGACGTAGTACTTGCTGAAGTAGTAACAGCACATGGCCTCTACGCCTTGGCGCACAGATTTAATGCTCCTCTAATTGGTAAGAGTCGCTATAGCAATTTACTATATACATTGCGTGTCAGTATTGAACTAGTCTGTTCGACAAGCTGGCGCAGTTTTTTGTCGTCCTAAACTGCAAAAAAGCCTGTCGTTAGGCGAATCACATACGATACGATACGTTAGGCAGATTTTCCATACGATACTCTTAATAAATTCTGTGATAATTTCCTCTGTACCTTCACTTGGTCATTCTGATAAATACGACCCTCATGTAAGAAACTCATAAGAAGCATAACCTTTACACATTGACGAATACAGTCGCCACCAAATTTACACATACAATCATCTGAAAATAAACAGATTTTCGCTTGCACAAATTTAGAAACTCGTACCTCGCTTCGAGAGTTGCACGTAAGAACTTGTTCACATTACACTTTTGCATTTATTTGTAGGTATATCATCGTTACCGTTGCAGAATAACCATTATTATCATCTCGGTTCGCCCATTTTACCATCGCATCCTTCGACTTGGGAAATGCAGGAAGTTACCGGTTTTAATCTATCATTGTGGCACAGGATAAAGAATTTTATTCGACTGTGGCGACATATACATTACGTACTTAACCATTATATGCAGCGACAGCAAGCAATAGCGGAAAAATACTTGGGCAAAGGTATACCTAATGTAAATGAAATGGAAAAGAATATGAGTATTATGTTGGTCAATCAACAGGAGATTACCATGTTCGTCAGACCACTACCACCGAATCTGATACAATTCGGAGGTTTACATATAATGAAGAATCCCGCACCATTGCCAAACGTAATTATTGCGCAACGCCTCAAACGATGGCATTTCTCTCTCAGAATAGATGCCGCACAATCGTCTTGTTTCAGGATTTGCAACAATTTCTGGACGACGCGCCGAATGGATTCATCTATGTGAGTCTAGGCACAAACGTAAAAATGACGTCCTTTCCGTCATATGTGCTACGTGTATTCTACGAAGTGTTTGCAAGTTTGCCGTATAAAATAGTGTGGAAATTTAATTTACAATTGCCAGACAAATTTGACAATATTTTCACCGCTACGTGGCTCCCTCAACAGAGCATTCTCGGTAAATCGAGACACATGACACAATCGTGATGAAAAATCGAACAAACATATGGTATTTTCACGTACCACGTTCGCTAGTCGTATCATTCCTCATTCCGTCTCTCATTCTTCCCAGCTCATCCGAACATTAAACTGTTCGTGTATCAAGGCGGAATTCAAAGTACGCAAGAGGCTGTTCATTACGCAGTGCCACTTTTTGGAATACCAGTGTTCGCCGATCAGTATAGTCAGATAAATAAAATGGTATCTCTTGGCGTCGCAAAAAGTCTGGATATTACTAATTTTTCGGTAAAGAAACTGAACACATCTATAATGGATATTTTAACAGATAAAAGGTAATTTCTTTTCTCTATCACCAAAATATATATATGTATGTATATGTGTATATGTATGTGTACGCGTGTGAAAATTTTAATCTTCTGTATTAGAATTTAATCTAAATGAACATGCGTGTCCCTCATACATGTTTAGAAAATATAAAGAATAGAAGCGTATAAGCGCTTATCACGAGCCTCAGACGTGATGAGCAATTTTGACTCCTAAATATTCAAATGTTTGGCACACGTGATTTTCCAATGCGGAGGGTTAAATATAAATAACGTATAATCTCTTGAACAATGTGCGCTACATCTTATCTAACGACCGTCTTTACTCGCTCGTCATATTCGCTCGCGCGTTTCTTAGTTGCCGAATCTCTCGAGAAGACAGAAACAATTCCTACACGCATATTAACACCTTGCATGCGGGAAACGTACTTTTACGTTTTTTGCAGTCTGTCACTAGAGCGCGGGTCACGTAAAAGTACGTATTTAGTAGATTTGTGCTGGAGAGCGGGTATCGTATAAATATGATGGGCATTGTAAGTGTGTATAGTATTTGTGTTGCTAGGCAACGATTTCCATCGTTTCTTTCTAGAAGTTTAGTTTTTTTTAGTTTGTTAGTTACTTGTTGTTATGAAAAAATATTTTTGAATAAACAGTAAAATTAAAAATTGTCTATTTTCCTTTCATTTTTAGTTCACTATTCTATATTTATTTGTTAAAAAAAATGTTTTTTTTAATAATCGTAGAGCATATATTTGAGTGTAAAATAAAAAAATTTCGTTGAGAAAAACGAAGTAGTTATCGATTTATTGCGATTTTACTGAATGACTAAACTCCCGCAAAATTCAGGGAAAAACGCGCGTTATACGCGTAAGTCCGCGGCGAAATATACCCGCATGCAATGTGTTAACCAGTTTGCTGGTAATGGCTCATATATGTCCAAAAAAAGCAGTGACACTTCTGATAATAGTCCATATACATGTAAGTATGTCCATCTTGAATAATTTTACCAATTTTCAACGGATTTGCATACAATTCGGTACTCCCAAAGTGTTTGGCTTGTTAACTAAGAATTTGGAGTCAAATTTGAGAAATTCGAAATGTCGGATCCAATGTCAACGGCAGACCAATATTTTTGCTTCTAGTGACTAACGGTATTTCATTATATATACTTTTACCTCTGTAGTAGCTGAAATATCATTAGGTGAAATATCACGACTCCAGAGTGCATCACGTGAAGGTTACGGTAGGATTTTACACTCTATTTTTCTATTTCTTTCTGTTTCCTTAATTTCAATTTTTTGTTTCTTTGCTTTTTATTTTTTGTAGCCGTACGGAACAGATATCATACCAGTCTTAAGTGCATAGTCAAAATAAAATAAAGTTTGAATGTCTTGAACTAATCCGTTATCTGCGACCAAAAAATCATATTGAGTATAATACATTTTCATAATAGAATAACAAAGTTAATCACTGTGAGTTGCGTGTGTCGTTGTTCTTGTGATCGGAGAGGAAAAGGAGAATGAATGTGGACGCCAATTACAGGAACATTTTTAAAATATATTATGAGACTATATACAGCGGTTTATTGTGTCAGTATTAGGCATTGTAATGTGTTTCTGCGGATGTGACGTCATGTGGCCGCATTCAGGTGAGATTGTTGTAGGCTCCTCTTGTTGAAGTCGGCGAGTCCTGAATGTCCCGATCTTAGTGGCACCTTGTTAGTTCCCGGTGAGGTTTGTGTCCCGAATGTTTGCGTCGGGACGTCCTCGCAGGTGTATCGTGGGGACAGCGGCCATTCCACACGAGAATCGTTTGCGTGCGCTTTGCAGCGCGGACGTTTTGCAGCGTCGATTATGTTTTACTTTTGATAGTGCGGACGCTTTGCAGCGTCGAGTGCGCTATGCAGTGTCGTGTGTGTTTTGCCGCACGGATGCTTTGCAGCGTCGAGTGCGTTTTCTGCAACACAGACGGTATAAAATACGACAGTATTCGCTCTTACTAGTTTTGACACAAAACGTTGATTTCGACTCACTAGTGAACTGGTTAAGAATCTCACGTGATCAAAGTTAAAGTACAATTGCGGAATACACTTATTATTAATAAGTGACACATGTCACTTATTTCCGAGATGCATTAACTTTCGTCCGTTCTTTTCAGATATAAAGAGAGAATGCTCAAAGTTAAGGCATTGAACGATGATAAGCCTTATGATATGCTGAAGCACGTAATTTGGTGGATCGAGTATGTGATTCGTCACAGGGATGTTTCTCATCTTCACACCAGTATCAAACATGATCCTTGGTACGAGAGGTACGACGTGGACGTTATAGCAGTCTTATCGATCGTTACATTTGTAATATTAATGTGCGCGTTGATGATTATGTATAAAATGCTAAAAATAACGATTAAATATTTTTACTCGAGAAAGACAATTAATATTAAGGAAAAAACTACTTAACGTTAACATAGCACAATTAATCACAATTATGCGCGAATGCGTTGGACATTTCAATATAACTTCAACATAAGTCTCGCTTTTAATCTCTTCTTTTCTTTAGAAGTTTGTATGAATTTTTCGTCCCTCTTATTATTTCCGTGTTTCTCCTATATTTTCATTTTTGATATATCTTATTCATATGTGAGAAAGTTAGTTAATTTTTATACAACGAAAGTACATCTAGTTAAACAGGCGTGAGCGATTGATCTCATTCTCCCTCTTTTCTTGCGTAAAAGAAAGTACAATGCGTGACGCAATTGTTTGGTCTAATTGGACAACTTTGTTGTAAATTATTACGTTAGATTTAAACTGGCTCGGAAAACGCTGTCGTTCGGTGCAGACATTGTTATTATTATCTAATTTCCTTGTGGTACCTCGAAGCACATATTTAATGTTTTTAAATCTAGCTGAGCAAATGTAACGTTTACAAGCATGAATATTCAAAGTTACCGCTTATAAGTTGTGCGTATAATGAATGTATTTACGTCGTGGTAAATAAGATGCATATTATACTTGCAATCGCGGCGACTGCTGTTACTGATGGTCATTATCAGAAATAATCGAGACAAAACGTGATGTTCAAAATTCAAAGCGGGCCATATGTCTGACGAAAATATCAAGCGAATCAAGTGTAATACTACGAAAACGGGTAAATAAATACATTATTTTATAAGCTATCGCTATTATTGTAACGATATTTTATCATTCATTAACCTGTCTAAAATATTTAAGAGATCTTTATATGTAACAATGAATAAACTGTCGACAAAATAATGCTTAATTAGCCTTTCTCCGTTATTCCGATGTACGTTACATTAAAGATTGGAGAATTTATAGTAAATTACTGCTCGTCATCGACCATACAAGTAACACTGCGCGCAATTGCAGCGTTCGGGCTGTAGAATTTTAATTTGATACTGCTATCGTAGAAAAAATGACTCGGGATCTTAAGTCATTTCTACACTTTGAATCACATGAATCGCACATATAATTCTTCAAATATATCGATTTAAAGTTTCGAAATTTTATGTCTAATTATGTTCAGTTGCTTATCATTTGGGTCATAACATGTATCGACATAAAATACATGAGGTGTGGTCTTTTGTAAAAGACTACTCTTTTCTTGTAAAATTTTATCGGTGTGGACTGTAGATACATGCGAGTATACTAAACATTCTCTTTAATTTATACTCTTCACATTAGCAACAGTTTTCAGATGTTGCGGTAAATATTTGTATTTATATGATTATGTATACATTTGCATGATTAATTTATATTATTTTTACATATTTTATATCGATATTTATAAATAGAATTTGTCTTATCCAGGGGCGCTGTTTTCCATTTTCCAAAAAATTATTTTTCCTTTCATCGTTTACCGCGCGACAGCCCAAAATATTTTATTCTGAACAATGTTCGACCTATAAAGTAACTTAATGTAAGTTAAATAGTTTGTTATGTCGTCTCGTAATGATGTCGATTATTGTCGAACTGTCCGATAGGTCTGAAAATTATTACAATGTTAAGATATAATATAATATATGTATTACTACACTAGGAAAAATGTATTGTTGCGTGAACCAAAATTTTTTTGTAACAACAAAATAATTTGGTTAAAATATGCCCAACAAAGCTGTTTAGTTCCTGTAAACGAATATTTTGTTTGATTACGGTTTGTTCGTATAATGTAATACTTTTGTTATAGCAACCATAAAGCTTTAATTACGTATATGAATTTTGTTAAAAATACTATAATTTTTTCTTAATATATAAAATCTAAATTTTAGTGCACAGAAAGACAAAATACGTGTAGTATCCGTTGGGCATTATTTTAGTTAATGTAAAATAATATTTCATTATTATGTAATTTTTATGGATAAGATAACTAAAATGCTTAATTTTTATATATGTAGTCTAAGAACAAAATCATTTGGTCCAGAGAACAAAGCAGAAAAATATATTTAGTTGAGACAACTAAATATTTTGTTATTTAAAACGAGATATTTGGCTGCTGTTAAAAAATGCCTCAACTAAACAGTTTTGTTAGAGATACTAAATTTTTTTTCATAATGTATCCTTACGAAAAAATTAATAAAAAGATTTTGTCTAAATAGTTTATATGTCAAAGCTAATATGCAATTACATCATCTTGATACGTTCATCTCAAATAGATGTTCCGTGGTTAATTTAATTTAATTCATTTGTTCAGATTAATACATTGTCTATTGTATCATATATTGTATGTCTATTGTATTTCTGCATTATTAAAGTCTAATATACACATATACATATACATATATACACGCATCGTCCTAAATACATACGTAAGATTCGAATTATCTCTGCAGGAGACTACGTAATTTGCATATTGATAAAATTACAATAAAAATATATATATATTTAGTCCAAGTAACTCTAATGAATTCGAAAGGAAAAAATATTATTTTCTACAATTATCGGGGGACTTTCAATCTTATGATTGCATCACTTTGTTTATGAGCGACAATCATGCGATATATAATGATGCGCAACGTTTAACGTGCATAGAGATGTCCATCATATTTAAATCGTAAGGTCGAATGATAAGAAATATGCATACGACAACTTTATACAATATTAATGGAGTTTATCGTACATATGTACATATCGAAAATACGTAGAGAAATATATAGAGTAATGTATATATAAAGAGCACACATGTAACACGAGGAAGAAGACCGCGCACGTCTTTATATTGCCACGAAGTGACAATTAACTTCTGTTGGGGCCGCGATACGCACGATATTCACGGTGAAGATAAAATCTAGTCCTCCGCGAATCAAAGCGTAGCAGTAAGCAGCAGAGTGTGAGGTCACACGGATTATTCAACATTGTGCGGCTGTGTTGTTATTTTACACTATTTATTTGTTATCAGACACATTAGTTGATGCTTGGATAGTTAAAACACCAATATATCGACAAAAGTATAAAAAAATTTTTGTATCGTCCAACTTGTATTTTGTCGCCTCCGCAAGTACGCTCGACATCATAACATCAACATCGTAACTGCTTGCATTACCCGTCATATCGAAAGCGTAATGAAGTTCACCGCAATATCTCTCGGATTCTGGCTAGCAAGTTTCCTATGTGTCGTTAAATTGACAGAAGGTGCGAGAATCTTGGCGATTGTTGCAGTGCCGTCCTACAGTCACCAAATAGTGTTTCAACCGCTATGGGCCGCTCTCAGCCAACGTCACCAAGTCGTTCTCTCCACGACGGACCCGATCGGCGACCCTAGCTTGACGAATTTGACAGAGATCGACATCCGACATACATATGATATATTCAAGAGCACGGATTTTGTTAAACTAAGATTCACTCATAGTTGGCCGAACATGGTGCAGGATACTTTGCAGCACAATATGGAGATAATATTAGAGGAAATCTTCAAGCATCCGGAAAAGTACGTAAATTGTATGCACCAAACAGTGGTGAAAAATTCGACGTAGTACTTGCTGAAGTAATAGCGGCATCTAGTGTCTACGCACTGGCGCATAGATTTAATGCACCTTTAATTGGTAAGAGTCGGCATGGCAATTTATTGCATACAAACCGGCGCAGTCGTCCTTTCGTCTAACGACGAGAAACCTGTCGTTAGGCAGATCACATTTTCCATATGATACTCTTAATAAATTCTGTGATTTGGCTGTACTTTCATTTGATCATTCTGATAAGTACGACTATCGTGTAAAAAACTCGTAAGAAGCATAACCTTTATATTTTGAGGAATACAGTCATCGCCAACTTTGCATACGCACGTCTAAGATAAACATCACTTCAAGCAATAATTTTTAAGTGTTTACTTTTTTAAAAGTAAAGTAATACTAGGTAAGACTATGAATCTTATTAAAAGTTATAATTGTAAATTAGCGAAAACACATACACAAATTAGAAATAAATAAGATTATTTATTTCTATAAAAGAATTAAGTGTTACGCCCGAATTACGCTTACTAAAATTGTAGGATATCTCAATTTACGCCACTAATTATGCACCAAATGACGCCACTCTATCTCATCTATTTTTTTCAACATAAGTAATTATAATATGTTTAATGAAGAAATTAAATATTTGCACCTGTTATTTATTTAAACACATTTATTATAATTTAATATTATTATTATAATTTAATATAATTCTTCATATATTAATATTTAAACTTTGGTTTGTCAGATATAACTTTTTGAATTATTTATTTAAAAAATTAAGCATTTAAATTTAATTTGAACTTGCTTTTTTGTTTCTTTTTTGGTTTAATGTTGTTCCTTACTTTTTTCATCACGCAGCTTTTTGCGAAACAACTTTTTCTTCTGCATTTCGTTATTTCTCTTGCTACTGTGCAGGTTTTTCATGTCATTCATCTGTGAAAACATTATGTTGTAATAAATGTATAATGTTTTCATAGGATATCAATTTAATTATGAATATTATCTAATATATAATCGTAAATGCTAATAAATAAACTTAATTTATTCATATGCAACTTTTCTATTATGAAGTTCGGGATTGTTTAATGGGAGACTACTATCTAATACTAACACTATTTATAATTATTAATTTTATGAGTAATTAAACAGCATTATATATCCATGGCGAATTTATGTGCATGATATTTTTTGTGTGTACATAAATCCGCCATCTATATTATATTATATAAACCATACAACTTTATAATATTTTATCTTTTTATCATCATTTATTATATCTTAATCGTACAAAACAAAACATTTATTATTACTACCCAAAAATATCTCATTTTATCATATTATAGTTACAATGGTACAATGTCACTTCATAGGTTAATAATCATTTAGAAGCAAATTCAGTCGAAAGTAGACAAAAGTAATAGGTCTCCGATATAAGCTATTGAATTTGCTTTTCTTGGAAAACTACATTATATTTTCGTATATTTTTACTTTAGCGGAGCCATTTGACACGCTATTACAACTGCTTTCCCGCAATTTTTAAATACTTTTACTGAGCTGTGTTTTATTACGCATGTAGAACAAGCAAAGTAAACGTAATTCGGGTCAATGGCGCAATTCGGTACGTTTATCTTATCTAAAATAAACCGAATTTTGCTTGCACAAATTTTGAAACCTGTACCTCTCCTCGAGAAACGCACATTCTTTGTATTATACTTTGTATTCGTTTGCAGGTATATCATCGTTATCGTTACAGGGTAGCCAGTATTATCATCTCGGCTCGCCCATTTTACCGTCACATCGTTCGACTTGGGAAATGGAGTACAGTACCGGTTTTAATCTGTCATTGTGGCACAGGATAAAGAACTTTATTCGACTGTGGCGATTTATACATTACGTACTTGACCATTATATGCAGCGACAGCAAGCAATGGTGGAAAAATACTTGGGCAAAGATATACCTAATGTAAGTGAGATGGAGAAGAATATGAGTATTATGTTCGTCAATCAACAGGAGATTACCTCGTTCGTCAGACCAGTACCACCGAATCTGATACAATTCGGAAGTTTACACACAATGAAGAAGCCCGCACCTTTGCCAAACGTAATTATTGCGTAGTGCCTCAAATAATGGCATTTCTCTCTCAGAATAGATGCAGCACGATTTTATACTTGTAATTTTATACGAATTTATACTTGTAAATGATCTTCATCTAATTCGCGTATTACCTGCACTACTTGCGTTATAAATTGTATCAAGTAGACCTTAAAATTGAAGAGCAATTTCCCTGGACGACGCGTCAATAAGCACCGGTAT